ACACACACACACACACACACACACGCACACACTGTGCGTGCGCGCGCGCGCGTGTGTGTGTACGTGTGTGTATGTACGTGTGCGTGCGTGCGTGCGTGCGTTTGTATGTGTACGTGTGCGTGCGTGTGTATGTGTACGTGTGCGTGCGTGTTGTACTACACAACCAGTGGTCGGTCAGTAGCCTTCACAGCGTTTGTGTAAATATGTCTCGCTCTCTCTCTCGCTCTCTCTCTCTCTCTCTCTCTCGCGCGCGCGTGCGCTCGCGCTCTTTCTCTCTATCCGTCTGCTTCTATCTCTCTCTTCGTCTTTCTGTCTGCCTGTGTGACTCTCATTCTCGCTTTTGCTCTCTCTCCCTCTCTCCTACGCACGCACGCACGCGCGCTCACAGATATAACGTGCCAGCAGTATAAAATGGTGGCCGGCCTTCTAGCACGGCGGACTCGGCCACTGCGCCGCGCGTTTCTTTTCATTGATGGCCGCCATTGCGCGGGTGTGGGTGGTGCCGTGAGTGGTGGCGGGGGTAGGGGGGCGGGGCCGGGCCGCCTGCGGTGCCGACGTTGGACGACCGGTGTCTACCAGGCGGCGACAGAGGTCGCGGGGATGACTCGTGACTAGGTTTCGTGGTTGTGGGAGGGGGTGTGCACGTCTTACCCCTCCCCCTCCCCCGCGCGCAGTATGCCTCCCACCCCCGCGATATTCACGTCCGCACTGCGTAATGGGCGCGCGAAAAAAAAATCCATACTACCCCTAGTTTCCCTTTCTTGGAAGGACTGTAGTTTTGTGTAATACGTGTGTGCGTGCTTGCGCGTATGCGTGCGTGTGTAGGCTACATACCTATATGGCTGTGTTCGTGCGTGTGTGTGCGTGTGTGTGCGTGTGTGTGTGTGTGCGCGCGTGTGTGTGTGTGCGTGCGTGTGTGCGTGTGCGCGGACCACGGCGAGGCCGGCCTTACTCTGGAAACTGACAGGTGGCACACGGAACAAAAAAATCCGTGTGCGGGGGTTAGAGCGGCTCCCCCCTCCCCCTCCACGCACCCACGATGGAGGCTGCTCGCAATGTGGCTGCCGGGGGGTGGGTGGACGGCAGTCGGGGAGGAGCAGGCGTGTTACGGAAGCGTGGAAGCCGCTTATACATGGCTTCCTCACCCTGCGTGCGAGTCCTCGGGTCTTACTGTCGACCCTCCCTCCGTGTTCTCCGTCGTGGAAAGTGCGCGCTGGGGGGAGGCATCTCCCCATCGCCGGTTCCCACCCTGCCCCCGCCCCGCGCTGAGAAAAAATTCTCTACCCCTCGCGCCGTTTCTTTTTACGGCACAGCTGTGGTTCCGTGGGGGATGCGTTTGTGCGTGCGAAAGAGGGCGCGGGATGGCAAGAGAGAGAAAGCGATCGAGAGAGAGAGAAAGAGAGGGGGAGAGAGCGGGATGCATAGAGAGAGAGAGAGAGAGAGAGAGAGAGAGAGAGAGAGAGAGAGAGAGAGAGAGAGAGAGAGAGAGAGAGAGAGAGAGAGAGAGAGAGAGAGAGAGAGAGAGAGAGAGAGAGAGAGAGAGAGAGAGAGAGAGAGAGAG